AAATCTCCTTTAGGTGAGCTGAAGGAATTTTTAAACTGTTTTTTAATTGGGGTGCTGGTATTGAGTTACTACATCATTTGTGCATATCCCCAAGTGGTTTTGGCAGATGTCATTTTCTATTTGCCTATGAAATAAAATAGTAAACAGTAACTGTAGAACAGTTTTACAGGGTGTCTTTTCAGCTTTCCCTCTGTATGTTCACTTATTTTTGTAGAGCAGACTAACCTTACCTTTGTGTTCTGTGTTCCCCAGACAATTTTGTTGTTTCAAGGCTGAGCTAAGTATTATCTAAATTATTATTTGCTGATACTTTTTTTTCAGATTATGGAAATTGATATTGCTGCCAGGTTGGACACTGCTAATAGTGACAGACTTACAGCTTTAAAAGCAGTTACAAACTTTGGCATGCCTATAGAAGAGTTTGAGTCTGAGGGTGAGTCTGGCAGTCATAGTTTTGATAGTTTCTCAGTCCCTTACAATATTTTATATCATGAAGTAAGTAAATAGACTTTACTTAGATCTTACTAGTCAGGACTTTCTTTTTCTCTTTAAACAGAGGCTGAAATCTTCCAGAGGAAACTTGATGAGACAACAAAGCTGCTCAGAGAGCTCCAGGATGCTCAAAATGAACGGCTGAGTACAAAACCACCCCCCAATATGATTTGTCTTCTGGGTCCATCTTACAGAGAAATGCACTTGGGTAAATACACTTTTTCTGATCATTCTTGAAGAATTGATGAGGCCCCAGCTTGTATCAATTCTAAGGAAAAAAAAAAAAAAACCCAAGGTCTATAGTGCCCTGTTAGGCCTGGAGGATTAATTCAAACTTCTTTGGATATAAAGCCAGATGAGAATCTTGAACAGTATTTACAAGTATTTCCTGTTTATTCCTAAATGTCCCTAGAACTGATTGACGCTTCTGTATGCCATGGGTCAGACAATAGCCAAATACCAATAGCTCCATGAGTTTTGTAGTGTCTTTGAACAGAGGTTGCTTAAGTATTACCAAGTTCTTATTGCAAGGCCAGCCTTTGTCCAAGATGGCTCTGGCTATCAGTCTGTTGAGTTACACTAATTAATACCAGTCATACATTCTTTAGTTACTTGAGCAAACCTGCTTGTCTCACAGAT